CGATGGGGCTGTCGCATACGCCGGCTTGCAGGGGAAGCTGCTGACCAGGCAAGGCACCAGGCAGGTCCATCACCGCGGAGCTCACTTGCTGGTCGTCCAACGGCTCCAGTTCTAGAAGGAATACCCAACACCAGGTTAACTTTTGGATGAGCCGCGCAGAACGAAAGGAGGTCCCTGCAAACCCTGCTGGCTAGGGACAACCCCATCTGGCCGTAACCCATCAGTGCTTCCCGTCAGAAAATAACTGCTACACAAGTCAAATTAGAACTAGAGCTGCAGATTATTCTATGATCACAGAAAAATGTTTCACTGAAAAGACACTGCTTATTAAAACCGCAGTGACTAGACCTTCAGCGACCTCATAGCGTAAGGCAGAGGGTTAAAACACTGAGACCCCCCTGAAACTCGACCATTCCTAATCCCGTTCAACACCAGGAACACACTTGAAAACCAGGACTTGACAGAATTCATCATTTCCTTCCCCTGACTAAATCAAGCAAAACAATCACAACCATTCAGGTAGAAATAGCAGAGAGATGACACAGCAGCTTCAGAGAAGAAAATATTTTCTATAAAGTTGGTAAATACCTGGTCCTTCAGATTGCTGTGTGCTCTGAGTTACCGGTGGAGAAAATTCTGGTGCATCCGTAGTAGAGTTTTCCACAACAGGACATATAATAAACCACCTTTTCCCAGTATGTAAAACTGGAGATGAAAAGAAAATGACAAGTAAACACAACAGTTTCCATTCATCCCAGATCATCTGTCAAAAGCTAGTCTAAATTTCCATGTTTAGAGAGAAAATCAGAACTTCCACAGTATCAGCCAAGGTGAAATCAACGGCTCCTAATTTGATTCTCACCCCTTCTAGAAGGCAGACAGCAATGCCTCTCGATTCTGCTGCATATTTTAAGTTATTTGAAAATCTGTTTTCAAGTGTTCATACTTTTAGAAGGATAATATAGTTATGTACATGAAAATTTTATTAACGGTACTGTGGGCAGCTTGCTCACAATGAAATATTTGTTGATTATGTAAAGTTTAGCCACCTTAACTTTTCCGCGCTGGAAGTTTCCTAACTAACATTTCCTTCCACCTCTCATCTCCAAGCCTGGCACATGTAATGGCAAACCAGAACTACACACGCTCTGCAACTTTCATTAGTAGAAATACAAATGCTACGTTAAAAAAGGTGTGCTGAGAAAATCCTATGACATTTACAGGCAAAAAAATAAACCAGATCTTTTGAGCAGAAAGTCTAGTTTGGAGGACTGGCAGTTTCTGCCCTTGTCAAAGCAGCTCTAAACCCTCCTCCCCCCTGCCAGCGTGGTGCAAGCGCCCAGCGCCACAGGCAGTAACAGGAGTTTTGGAAGCGATGCTTCCTTCAGCAGCGGTTTCGCCTTCCCCTCCAGCACACGCTTACACAGAGAACCAAGGGCCAACTCCCCTTCCGTAAGACACAACTGTGTTCAGAGGGCCCAGTTCCCCCCTGTAACAGCGCAGTAGCTGAACGCTTGTGGTTGGAAATTCCAATTAAATCACCAGCACAGACACAACCTTTTAGCTTTCTCTTGCACACGTGGCTATTGCTGTGAGAAGAGCATGCTTGCCCGTACCTTCTAGACCATTCCACCGCTGGTTATCAGCTTGGGTAACCCAGTGCTCCCCCAAACACCCCCGGCAGTCCTCCAGGTTGCCAACAGCAGGGACCACCGTTATCCCCACATCATTACATATGTTCCCAACCACCGGATTTCTTCCTGAATCTACCAAACTCCTGCATGAACTGATCGCTGCCTCAAAGCCTGAGATCAGGCCTGTATTCCCAGGCATACTTACCGTTTTGTTGGTACACGGGTGTCTTCATTTGAGACTGCCGCTTCTCCTGTAAAAAAACCAAGACCAGAAACGATAGAAGAACTAGTTGTCTTGTATCAAAGCAAGAGGAGCATCGTTCCAACGAGCGCTCGTATTGTAAGCCTTAATGGCGTAAAAGCCTTATTTTTCTAGCTAAGAAACATTCTTTTTTAAACACAGGATGTAAAACTAATTCACGGTAACTGGCTGTTAAGAAAAAGGAATCGAACTAGCCATCTTTATTTAACATTTCTTACCTCGTTCATCTCCAGCCTGTCGGTATCTTGCTGCGGACTCGTCCCCTGATCAGAACTTCGTTCTCCTTCCGTATCTTCACTGAGCATGTCTTCTGCCTTATCAATAATATCTTTCATTTGTTCAATAAAGGTCTCTTTTTCACTCTGCAATATGAATTCATTCTCTACCTAGAAGGCCACATCAGAACAAAGAGGAACAGAGTAACCTTTCGACTCGCGCCCCGTTCCACAGCCACCAGAAAGCTCGGTCAACAAGCACGCACGAGAACAAGCTGGCTGAAGCAGCTCGGTGCGTCACGAGACCGCGGGCAGCCACGCCACCAAGCCTCACCATGTAAGTCGCAATCTCCTCTGGCGCATCGCCGTCCAAATCAAACTTAAAAGTCACCATCTTGTGATTGTGTGTTTCAAGCTGGCACTCCACCATCTTGTCCCCCGTGTTGCAAACCTGCAGGCAAAGGTTAACGACCGTTATTTCTGGCAAAGCCAAAGGAACCCCCAAGCTAGCCTCAGAGAGGTTGTACTTGCATTTAGGATGGTCAGTTTTGGCCTGCTGGTCTTCTCCTGGCGTGAACGAGCGCGTGTAGATTTCTTATGTTTCTTTGAAGACTTCCCTTCTTGTTTTCCACCTCCTATTGCTCCTTCAAAGCTGTCACTCATCTCTTTGCCCGAAGCAACATCGGGACTCATGTAGCTTTGTAAGAGAAAGGAGGAAAAACCCCAAAATAAAACCACCGTCACGCGTGATGGAGTTATGCATAGGCAAGATGCAGAACAACAGAGATTGCCAAAACAAAAGTGCACATCTGCACTCTTTTGGCCCAGCCAGAGCCAGCTACTGCAAGATGCTCAGCCAGCGAAGGGAACTGCTCCCAGCCAGGCAGATACCCTGGGTACCATCCTCCCAAGAGAGGACCGATTAACATCTCTGCCAATACCACAGGGAAAGTCCCATCGTTCCGAATACACCGTCACGCGTGATGGAGTTATGCATAGGCAAGATGCAGAACAACAGAGATTGCCAAAACAAAAGTGCACATCTGCACTCTTTTGGCCCAGCCAGAGCCAGCTACTGCAAGATGCTCAGCCAGCGAAGGGAACTGCTCCCAGCCAGGCAGATACCCTGGGTACCATCCTCCCAAGAGAGGACCGATTAACATCTCTGCCAATACCACAGGGAAAGTCCCATCGCTCCGAATATATCCCCCCGCGCCCCCTAACCCCCTCACCTCAGGGATCCCCCCTTCTCTGAACTGCGCGGGTGCCTGTCTGTCTAAGGTCCAGTTTTCCCAGCTCCTGCCTGTCTGCACTCCCAGCAGAAGGTCTAAGCAGGGCCCGCTTGTGTGTGTTGGAGATGAAGGAAAGGAGTCAGTAGTCGGTAGGGCATCCTGTAAGAGATTGCCTCTCCTCTCTCTGCAGTTCTCAGGGGTCAGAAAGAAGGATTTATGCCCCAATATCCCAGATGACCCACTAGCAACAGCCTACTATTTTTAGCAGCCAAAACAGTAGCTGCTAACAACCCTGTTGTAACATGACATGTACAGAAAACGTCAACATGTAAGTAATTTGCAGGAAATTTTCAGAGGCTCATAAAAACCACGTCAGGAAGGAAGCTTGTAAGGCCATCTGGCCTATTTATTACCCCAAGGTACGATCAGCTCTGTCTAAGCCAGCCCTCGCAGAGGGTTGTGTAAACTGATCTCACTAAGCACCCGGGAGATTTCATAACCTTCCTGGGCAATTCATTCCTGGGTTCATTTAGCCATACAGGCATAAAAGAATTCAGGTCTAACCTACGGATCCCCTTCTTGAATTTAAGGCTTTTACTTCTTGTTCCGCACTAGTAGCGCAGAACAGCTTATTTCTACCCCCTCTGCAGCTGCCTTGTCTGTGCAACTCCTACGTTAGGAAAACGCACGTAGGATATACTCTAGCTCACACCTTTGCTGCAATTCCCAGCCATTGGACTCACGAGCCGTGGCCTGCCATTCCATGCAAACGTGACCCAGCTCCAGTGCTGCGTTACGGATGCACCTGGAAGAGAGACCTCCCTCCCTCCACGACCGCGTGCCGACGCAGGCTCTGCTGCGGCCGCGATGGCCAGCTTCTCCACCGCAACCCGGGACAGGCAAACCAGGATCCAAATGGTGACTGAAAATCTGATGTGCCTTTCCACCGCAGACTAGACAGATAAAATCAACTCGTTTTGTTTAACTTATAGCCAGAACTAACCTACGGTCACGAAAAATAAGAATTCACCTTCTATGCAGTATTTAAAAGCAGCAAATTCTTGGAGAAAAGGTCACATTTTAAGGCTGCGGGGTTGCATTTACTTGTGTCAGGCTAGCTTTTTTGGCAGGGTGGAATGCCATAAAAAAGAGAGGTGTCTTTAAAGTTCATGAACTACTCTTGTTTCTTCAGGAAAATAGAAAAGGGTCACTAAAATCCTAACCCCGAAGCTTTATAATCAGCAAGGACAAAGTTGGTGCTGGCTCCTGCAACAGCCACGGCATTCGGTTGCTTACAACCACGCAGTTTCTATCTGCCCTATCCACATCCCACCACTGACAACCCAGCTGGCGCGGGAGCAGCAGACGCCCCGGAGCCCATCCAGCCCCTCGCCAGCGAGCCTTCCTCCTCAGGGCTCCTCCTCGCCGCTTCCTCCAGACCTGCTGCTTCCCCTTCTGCTTCCAAGCGCGGGGACAGGCAAAAACTGGAAATTGCTGCCGTTCCTGAGGAGTGCTGGGCTGGCTCTGGGGGTTTTTTGTCATTCCTCCCATCGTTAACATTACTAGGCTCGAGCGTGACCTCGCACACCGCAGAACGGCCTTTGGCCACGTGCTCTAACGCTCGTTGCAACAACACCTTTGAGTGGCTCAACACACAGGTCTCAATGATACACCACTCCCTGTAACATTCCTGGGGAAAGATCCTTACAGAAGGTGCTACAGGCATTCCCGGTCCAAAGAGGGAATGAACTATATACCCAATTATACTAGCGCAGCGTGTTTCTACGCAGGTTCAACAGCATCCAAACCAGGGGCTGTACCACTTCAGTTATCTCAACAAAAAGAGAAGTTACACGCTGAAATGAAAGCTGTCGTACATACATCGAGGCTAGGATGCAGTGCTCAAGTTAAAGAATTAAGAGAGTTGGAGGAGCTGAAACAGGCACGCTGCGCCCAGAGTATGCGCAGCTTTCTCCCTAGACTGGCACCCTTCTGTCTCCTCCTGGTCAGCTCCTGCTACTCTCCTCCCAGCCAAGGCAGAGACCAGGCATTCGGCTTGGCCTCGTAAAGAGAGAGGGGAAAACAGCCTCCAGAAAGAAAACATTTCGTATGCAAAGAGATTATAATGATACCTGTCACAGCTCTGTGAGAGAGTCTGAAGTTTGTCCTGCATTGCCTGCTCCTAAAACATAAGAAAAAGTCATTTAAGTAAATGCGTTGTATCAGCAGAGGAAAAACAACTTTAAGAAAAATTTTGCTGTTGAGCCACCGGCAATCCTAAACCGTTCTGTTTAACCAGTTCTTGGAACATGGAAAAAGATAAATGTCCCATTTTACCCTCCCGACATCACTTCTGCCCAAAGCATCAGTTATCTGTGCACGACAGCTTTTTATGACAGAGCCACTCATCTGCCGGTTCCCTTCTGCTGTCTCTAAAGCAGAAGAGGTGGTGAAAAACAAAATAGCTCTCACCAGTGGAAAAACTTGATTGCAGGACAAATCCACATCAGCACCTACCTAATTTTATTTTTGAATGGATATAAAATATAAGCTAATTTCCTTCACTGCTTTGTACAGTTTCCTGCAACACGTTAAGCTTTTTCATTGTATTTGGCTTATTCTGAAAGTTTCTGGGGAGCTTACAAACAAAAGATGAAAACTCATCATTTAAAAACACTGCCCTCACGTCGTGTCCTCTTGCTCTCTACGCAAGAGAAACTTTCCCTAAAGCTTCCCTCCTCACTGGCTGCAACGCAAGGATAGCCTGACTCTCGCATCGGGTAGACCTGTTGCCACAGCAGCTGTGGTGACCATGCTGCTGGCCCCACTGAAACAAACGTAACGCACGTGTACACGGACACACACCTGTGCATGTATACACCTGTCTATGTATATACACACACCCCAGAGATACTCATAAATATATATAATTTTATATATATTTATACATACGTTGACAAACAGATGTCTGTAGAACCCTTCTGGAGAGACACAGCCAGAAAGGAGCCCCTGGACTGCCATCACCACACCGTAACACCACAGCTGGCAGACGGGAGCCAAAAGCTTGGCAGCTAACCCGTCAGCCCCGCTCACTGCTTCCAGTGCCACACTACGCCATGCTGAGCTCAACTGCAGCTTCAGCAAAACCACACAGTTAATGAACAGCGAGAAGACAGACATAACGCATCTCAATTTTGGTAATGCACTTGGACCAAGTGCCTTACAAAAATCTCATTTGCCTGACCAGTTCAGATCGGTCTGGATGCCAGCACTGCTGCACATTCAAACACAAGGTAGACAAAAGCTTTACGGCAGAGTGGCAACAAAACACAGTTCTTCAAATACATACAGGTAAGAAACTCCTCTTGCACCCAGGAAAACCTTAGCGATACATGTCAAAATCAGCAAGGGGAGCACACTGATCAGCTGGACCATCCTATGATGCTGATTT